CCCCCCCCCCCCCCCCCCCCACTAAGCCACTGACATTCTTGACTGCTGCTGATCAGAAGGTTCCCCCAGCAGATTAGTTAAGGATCTTTTTTCTCTTTTTTTGTCTCAGGGAGCAACTTGAAGTTCAAACTGACAGAGTTTGGAACTTTAGAGATAATAAGTACAGTGGAGACAGACAAAGGTGAAATACAGTGGAGTACTCCAACAGAACATCGCAAGTCAACTAGTGATGAAACTAATGAAATGGCAAAGGAAGGGGCCACAGCAGACAAGAAGGACAAAGGTATGGTCCTGAGATATATGTAATGATCAATTTGTAATTTCTCCTTACATTCTCCATTTATTATCAAGAAAACAGGTGAAGAGAATAAAAAAACCACCAGCTAGTGATTTTGTCTTGATCGAACACCAAGTTCTCACAACCAGCATTAAAAGAGATGCTAAGATTATTAGATAGACGGGGCTTGCATGTTGTTCACATTTTTATGTGATTTTGGTAGGAGTTTGCTAGCCAATTTGTATCATATTCACATTAAATAACCCTTCCTGTTCCAAGCCAAAAACATTTATTAGTTGATAATATTAATTCATAAGAGAGCGATTGCAGTAGCACGAACGAAGGAAATATTCTATCTTCTGAAAGCTACGATTCAGTGTAGTAGCTCTCACATGTATGTCCGCTTGCCCCACAGGTACCCCCAAGAAATCTAACGCGACCAAGGATGCGCCAGACACTGGTGATGTTCTGTGTTGTGAAGTGTGTGGCAAATACGGGCTGCGGCGAGACTTTTCTGCGTCGGGGAGGTTTTGTGGCCTGTCTTGTGTGGGAGTATACACGGGAAGAAGGAACAAGGGCAGAGAATTCGTGCGCAAGATCAAGACTGCTGATGGAAAGATTGTGAAAAAGAAAAAGAAGGGAAAAGGAAAGAAAATTGGACTGGCGGAAAAACCAGCAGGGACAACAAGTGTAAGTGACAATCTTCAAACCAAGTTCCTGCGGCAAGCATTTCGCGGTAGCAGGTTTTGACTTGTTTGACTTTACCTGTTAATTTAAGGAAGGTAATGAGGTAGATGGACGGTAAACGGCTTCTCTGTCGGCTCGTTGCTCGGCTCGCCGGCCTCTTCTTTAATTACACTAGCGCAAATTTATTTGTTGCGGACTAAGGGACGATAAAAATCAACATCTTGGCTAGAATTCAGCTTTGTTTCCCCTTTGTCAGGTCGAATGTTAACGTAGAAATCTGTAAACAATGTAAATAGCGTTATATTTTCTTGACTATCTCGTTGTTGAATCTTGTTTCAGGATGTCGGGGCACCTGTTCAAGATGCTCCTCTGATGGGCAAGTTTAAACTGAAAGGCAAAGGAGAAAAACACAAAATCAAGGCAGCCAAGCACCAAATCTCCGTGGAACCCTCCAACCTGATGAACGGCGAAGACGGTAAATATCAGTCGTAAAGTCTTAAATTGTGTAGATACGGCGAGGAGAAGGGGAACTTTGGTGATCTGAGTTCAAAGTACAGAATGATCTATCTTAGCTAACTCTCCTTATAAATTTCACGGTCCGGGGTTGACCTGTCAAATGCTCGAAAATGTTCGCTTACTTCTTCAGTAGAGGAAGGAAAAGGATTACTTTTATTAAACCTGCCTAGTCTATCTCCTCTTGCCTATCGGTCGGTATAAACTGTAGCCTGCGTAGCAAGCGCGGCCAAAATGCGGAAAAAGCTTTAACTTAAAGCTTTTTCCACGATGCGCGATTTCGCTCCAATTTGCGCGCGGTCAGAACGCGGAAAAAGCCCTTTTCATACGGAACGCTTGCTACTCAGGCTATACAAACTGAAGTATATGATTTAAGATACGAACATTCTGTACTGTTTTCTTGATTTTGCAGTTCCTTATGACTCCACAAAACCCTTCGTATGGTCGGATTACTTGGCGGCTTGTGGTGCGAAAGCAGTTCCTAATATTGTATTCAAACAGGTTTGTAGAAACAGCTTCTGTTCTAACTGACATCTATTTAACAGTTTTTTTTTTCAATGTTAATAGGTTTGAGTATATAATTTATGGTAAATGAAGTTTATTTCTAGCCTCGGTGAGATTTTAAAAAATGAGCCAGAAAATTAATGGCCGCAAATATGGTCAATATTTCTGTTGTTGTTGTTTTTTTTCTCTCGCGTATTGCGCGAACGTAATTTTTCTGAAGTCCCAACGTTAGCACAAAATTGTTGCAGTAATTTNCCACCAGATCTCTTTAAAAAGGTCAGTTAGCATTTTAAGTACAAAACGTCGCAAGAATTTAACCTCCTCCCCGGTCACGGAACTCTTGCCTCGATCATGTTTAGGAGTCTGGAAATGATTTTGAGAACAGCGAGTTATTGGTTCCCAGACTTCCAAATGAAACTTGTGAATGGAACGTCCCGCGGAGGAGAGTAAGAACTTTTTTTTTCACCAAATGAAGTGTTTTGATTTTGGGCAAAAACGAGCAACGGAAGTCCTTGGCCAAAAGCTTTTTTAACAACAACGACAGAAATAACAACAATGCATCCGTAAAACGGTTTCATTGCCCTTTTAATAAGATCGAATCTGTTCTCGCCATACGATAGTTAGTGCGCTCCACCTTCTGTATCATGTTCAGCTTAATGTTCGTTCATTTTCCTTTCTCTCTCTCTAGCGCCCCAAGCCGAGTTTTAAGCCTTCCGAGAGACTGGAAGCTGTAGACAAAAGGAATCCCTCCCTTGTCCGTGCTGCCAGAGTAGCGGCATTGGAGGAGTACAGAGTCAAGATACACTTTGATGGCTGGGATGACATTTATGATGACTGGTTCGATGCCGACTCCTGTGACTTGCACCCCGTGGGGTGGTGTGACAAAACAGGCCATCCTCTGGAGACCCCTCTCAGTAAGTACTTTCGGACAAAAGTGATCTGGTTGGTAGGAGGGGAGGGGCGGCACTAGAGGGAAGGATTGCGGGATTCCTACGGTGTTTCAGCTAGAAAATTTTACTTGATGGCCAAAGTGGCCCCTGAAGATCTTTTTTAGGGGCCAATTTTTTAGGAAAGGGGCCAATAAACTGAAAGCTACAGAAGGAAAAAATGCATCAGGGTACC